TGTCATCTAGAGTCTGAGCTGTTACTGGCAATAGCCATTAGGGATGTCCCGATCAGGTTTTTTTGCCCTCGAGTCCAAGTCCGAGTCATTTGATTTTGAGAATCTGTCTTTACTGAGTCCCGATCCGATACTTTCGATACAAAAAGAAGAAGAAAAAAAGAAAAGTAAAGGAAGAAACGGTTCCAGAATGTTCCTTATTTTTTATTTTATTACCTTTTTATTTTAATTTTTAACAACAGATCACTTCTGTGAGGTAGCTTGAACAATCAAGTAATAAATAACAAATTCTTCACTTTTGGACTTTATTGCAAATATAAAAAGTCAAATATAAAAACAGATAGCACTTCAACGTAAAATACCTGGCAGGGGTTTATTTTGCCTCGGCCCCCAAAATGCTTAGATACGTCCCTGGGCATGGGACGGAGTTTTGAAGATGATCTGAATTGTATCAACTATATAAATACTACATGCTGATAAATTATTGCTTTAAACAGGTACAAACATGTTGTGGGATAAATCTACCTACATTTAATTTTTTTAAGAACTTTGTTTTGTTTTCTTGATTTTATTGTCATATCTTCCTGTCCTGTCCGTCTCTGATCTTCCTGCATCTCCCAGTCCTCCAGAAAAACTCCTGTCTGCTCCCTTCTTTTTCACCTCACAAGTAACTTTTTAACTAGCAGATGAAATTGATCTATTGACCGCAAAAAGAGCGGAGTGTGGGCTGCGCTGCCCGGCTGCGCCAGTGACGAGCGCTGCAGCGAGGGCAGCGCGAGCGCGTCCACACGTCACGCTCAAATACAGACAGAACTAACCAGAGAGAAAATGAACGGACACGAATGACTGTGTGTTAATTGTATATTTTTGGTGACGCCACTTAGAAACTTAGAAAATGTTACTGTGACCGTGTGCAGAACGCAGCTGGAGTTCATGAATAATCAGCGGTCTGCCTGCTGCTCTGCTCAAAAGACTCCCCGCTACGCTGAGTCCATATATATAATATAATATAGGTAGATAATATAGGTAGTATAGGTCTTTTTTGTGCTCCTTCTGGGTCTGTAAGTTATGGGCATCAGGGGAGCCTGACAACCTTTAAGGAGAACCAAGTTGCTCTCCTGTAATTTGAACCCAGTATCCGAGTCCGGATCGGGAAGTAAAGCCCGAGTTCCGATCAGTCTGAAACCACGTGATCGGGGCCGATTTCCGATCATGTGATCGGATCGGGACATCCCTAATAGCCATCAAACTTGTGGAATAGTAGTGAGAAAGTCACCTTCTCACTTTTTTTGTTCTTACATTATGCACCTTTAACACTGCAATGTGCAACACTATCACCACAATTGCATGTTTTTTTCTAATCCTGTGTTGCTCTAACACATAGCACTCACCTTAGTGCAGCAGATATGCTACATCGCTTGGTTCAGAGATATTAGCTGCATGTTTTAAAGCACACACAGTACTGTGATCTTGCTGTATTGACTGGTGAACAGTAATTGGAAGACTTTGTGTTTATCATAAATCTAGATTCTGAAAAGGCTAGTACTTTTTTTTAAGTGATGGGTGGCGCTACTCTAACAAGCCACAACTGTCTTCCTTTGCTACCGCAAACATTTTTAAAAAGCAAGACTTGACTTCTTCAGAACTGAAAACATTTAGGGGAATTTCCCTCTTTGCCCATCATACACATTCAACTGACAGCTCTCCGCTACAGGTAAGGTAGTATGAGCACTTTTTTGGAAGCACATACAACCCCAAAAATCCTCCACGCTGTCTCAGGTATTCATTTAAAAAGAAATAATGGAACAGGAATGGTACGGTGTTGTTTTGGCACCATGGTTCATCTTGCTACTGGAACCCAACCCCATGTCTAATAAGTACAAATGTGAGCCTAGAAGAACTATTATATTAATAACTGTTGGCACAGTTTGATAAAACTGGATCTACAATCGTAAACCCAACCTTGTGGGGTGATGTTGGTGGCCCAAGAAATAAAATCAATTTGAAGAATAAGGGGTCCAGGTGGATCAACTTTGATTTGCTCCACTTGTGCGTAGCAACTTGACTAATGTTGACTAATAATTCATGCAATTTTTAAATAAACTTTATTAATGGTTGTCTGATAAATAAGAAAACATACATTTTTAATATATTTTTAAGAGCTTTACAAATATATCAGGTGGTGTTTCAAATACTTTCTGGATTTTTTTTTTACCAACAACAAATTCTATTTAAAATTTTAATTGGTAAAATATGTTAGTGCTGGGATAGGAAAAACCACTAAATCAAAAGGATATCACTTAAAATTAATAAGCAAAAATCTAAAACATTCAAATGGGCACATTTCTATATTTTTCAATAATGACCCCTTTTATAATCGCCTACCAGCGAAAACTCATAACCACAAATGAATGTGATGTGGCCACACCTGACCTCAAGACCAGTTCCAGATGTGAATGTAGTAAAATAGTGACATTACATTAAATTTTGACAGTGACACAAATATTAATTGGCAAAACGTTTGTTGGCAATTTGTGTTTTCATCAGAATTCAATTAGGAGTGAAAAGTTACAAGTTTTGCAAAGTCACATTTTGCCATAAAGTGAACCAAATGGAAAAAAAAGAAAAAAGAAAAAAAAAAGGTGACTACGGTTTCAAAGCATCATGGAAAGTCCAGCAGCTCCAGGATGGGGTCTCCTACAGTTGATGCTTCAGGTAAAGGCACAGTAAAGAAATGACTGTTGAAACACAGCCTGGTGTCAAGAAGAGCAGCAAAGAGCAGCAAGAAATATTTCCCTCTCAACAATTGTTTGGAGCTGTTGCCCTTGTTGGAGGGTATAATTCAGACCTTACAAAAGAATTGCCATACTGTGAAATTTGGAGCCTTTGAAGTGAAAGCACCACTCCTGTCTGGTTCCTGTGTACGTTTTAAGCTGCTCCCTCCATGTAAACAAACTACCCTGGCTAAGGAATAAAATTGCACCTTATGTTTTATTACAGTTAAGCATATTGACTCATATAGTCCTTACATTACTGCTGCATGCTCAAAAACTCATTTTCCCCTATACATTTAGTCGTAAATAGTTATTTGATGCTTTAAAAAAACTTATTACTGCATGTGGGGGAGTAGGCAGAACATTCAGCCCCTTGGCTTTAGTGTGCAGCTCCAAAAACATGTGAAAGTTCCTGTAAATAGCATCTTACAGCTTCCATTTCCACCAACCAAAGGTGAAAATGCAATGCACATCTTTTATTCAGTTTCCTATATGAACAGGAGGGAAAGTAGAGAGGGGTGTTCGTAGGTTCAGTAGAGACCTATGCTTGAAGTTGAGTGAAAGTCTTCATGATGCAGGTATGCACAGTTAGAGTAGAGGGATTCTGATGGTTTCATGAGATACCTGGATTAACTCATGTAGATTTGTCACATCTACCCAGACAATGGATCCACTATGTGCAGCCAATATATTTTTACTTCAGTATCTCATTATTGTTGTTAAAATACGTAAGTAGAGGACCAAAACTGTTCCTTGTAGGTGAGAGCATAAAATGTGATAAATCTCAGATTATGACGTGCATCCATATACAATATATTTCACAATTCCTTTGAAGTACTCTTGTTGTTTTTGTAGTTTTAGTTCAAGAGATGAATACAATTAAAACAAAAGTTTGCATAAAGCACATAAGTACATGTCACTGGTACATAACTTTCTACACCATAATAGGCTCTTTTTCAGCATAAGCATAATTTACAATGACCATTTCACAATGATTCAACCTTTGCTAAGTGACACAACAAATCATAAGTAAATTAATGACTGAAAGATCAGCAAGAAATAGTTTCAAGTTAAATTAATGGTGTCCAGAAATGAGCAATGTGATTAAGTCTTCAAACTTCTAATCAGGAAGGGGTAATATCTCCATGTTCATAGGCTGCTGGTATAGCATCATCTCTCCACCTCACCACCATCTCATTAATAGAAACTCGATTTGCGGACAGCTGCACTCCCGTACACATTATAGGAGAATTGATTGCACCCAGCACACAATGAAAAGGATGAACACCAGGGAGGGAGGGAGTGAAAGGAGTGAATTAATTAAGAGAACCAGGTGGTCAAATGTTGGGTGGAAAATCACTAGCTAATGACACATCACACTGTGGCCACAGTCTTGCAGTGGACGGTTGTCTATTGTTGAAATACTGACGCTTCATTTGAAACTGACCCTATGCTCTTTGAGCCACATGGCAAATGAGTGTGAGCTAGTCTGGCATAATGCATGCTGCCTATAATAAGTAAAATACCTCTAATGCAAACATAACACAAAGTAATAAATGCATAATTAACACATTACAGACCAGACTTAAGAGTATGTAGGACTTAATAATCCTTAACAGTACTTTCCAGTTATTAGCACTTTGAAACCTAAAATTAAATACACTGTTTTACAGTATGAAAATAACAGATTAGGCATTTAACTCACTCAAAAATAACAAATTATCAAAAATGTTAAGTTTCGATAATCATGATAATGGGAGACAGCTATGACGACAAAAAGTTTTTAAAGTAAAAAACATGAACGTTAGTTATTGTTAAGGTACAATTAATCAATACCAAGTAAAAGTTTCATGCAAGTCTATTTTTGATGTTTAAGGGAAGTTGTTGCAGACCGAAGCACAATCTTATACTTTTTTTTCCCTTTAATTGGGTTTTCGGTCAAAACTCAATATATTAAAAGGTTGACATGTAATAAATTAAATTTGTTTACAAACTACTACATGCACTGTTTGCAGCGACAAAACTATTTTTAAATGGTCAAGCTTTAAGTTTTCAGGAATAATAATCGACACGAATTAATGGCAAGAGTTTGGCTGCGAATTAAAATGAATCGTGATGTTACATTATTGTTGCGATTTTGATTTTTACGACTCGAAAAAGTGTGATCCTATAGATGAGACGCACTTTAGCTTAGCCATCATGTGTGGAAAAAGACTCTCCAGGTCTTACCTGGCCTGTGCTTCGTCCAAGCTTTCGTCGGTGATGGCCATTATTTGCTGAAGAATATCCCCAATGTCTTGTTGCGGTTGACCGAGAGATTGCTGTTTCCTGACCGAGTCTGGGTCACCGACATCGGGTTGCGATAGTCCACCGAGTCCGGTGAGCCCCGTCAGCATCCTGGTCTGATCATCCATACTTTAAAAGAAAACTCGCCGTTTTCTTCAGTCGAAGAATACAATCAAATAGCTAGCCTTTCAGCTAGCCAGCAAAGTGTTTTCTACGACAAATCATACAATACTTCTTTCCGCACCCAGCAGTGACAATAAGCGATTAGAGATTGGTTGCATAAATCCTATAATAAAAATAAGATTTACATTCACCTATTTCTTCTTTTGACTAGTAAAAAACGAGCCAATGCTAACGCTGGCTAACCACCGTCTGAAAGGCAGCTAGGTTAGTAGCAGTAGCCCAGCAGAAAAGCAGCAGGGACACACATGCACAGACTCAGAGAACGCCTCGCACATTTTCAAAAGAAAACGTACACCGAAGAATGTAACCGCAAACGAACAAGCACGGCTTCAAACGTCGCGTTCAAATCGAGGATTAAATTAGGTGTGACCATGTAGTTTCGGATAGCGCAGCTCCTATCAGAAATCTACCAAAACAGAACACGATTTGCCATTGTTGTTGATGTCGCGCGAGTCTGTGAGATGTTCTCAGCGCGAGCTGAGCGGTGTGGCTCGCTTTGACCATTGACACTCATACAGCGCACGAGCTCGTGGGTGGGTAAACGGACAAAGTGTTATAAAAATGACAACTGCAGAGGCAGACAGATATTTATGTTAACTTTAGGAAATGTTAGCAGTGTCACATCAGAATTCAAGACTGTCGCCACACTTTAGGTTTCAGGTGAGCAACATCCCATGAAGCAAAGTTTGGGGTAGGCCTAACACACCAGCACAAAGACAAATAAGAACCAAAAGGGAGGGTTAGGAATTTTAATAAAGAACTGGCATACATATTCAAAATTTATATCACGTTACAGCTTCTCATGATTGATTTATAAAAACCTAAATATTTCAGGAAACACAAAATTGTGCAGCAACATCCTGGCTTTGCTTTTGACCAAGTTTTTAAATTTTTAATACAAAGTGGACTAAATTGAAAGGTTTATGGATTTGTATGCATGTCTAACAATGAAAAAGTTGTGCACACAGTTACTGACAAGCATGTATATATATATATATATATATATATATATATATATATATATATATATATATATATATATATACACACACACACTCTCACGTGTGTGTGTGTGTGCGCCACTTTCAAGTGTAATATTCAGTTCCAAAACGGTCCAGGTTTAGAGCATCATTCTGTCCCAAACCCCTGATGAATGAAACATCCCATCACTTTTCAGTATGAAACCGTTGACAGCAGATTGAAAACAAGTGTCCTTGGTTTTTTGCAAACTGGGCAATTCTGGTATTGTTTATCACTCAGATCACAGAGACAGCTTTCCAAGACGAATGGCTGACTGAATGAGTGGAGGAGAGCAGCAGCCAGCCCAACTATACAGAGAGGACATGATGAGTGTGCATGAGGGAGTATGACCAAACAGGCAGTGGTTTATGCTGACTCTCCAACGATCCATCTACTACAATCTGTAACTAATCAATCTAAAGTTGGAGACATCAGGAATTGCGAATAAAGTAAAAAGTAATTGCTCTGTGCATATAACACTAGCTTGTCCAGGCTTCCAATCATATAATTTTTTCAACCTTTTCCATTTCATGCAGCCTTGACATGTATTTGTACACTTAAGCTGTATATATTTTCCTCTCTGAGTCTATCCCATTCCTTAGGTTTTATATTAAGCAACTTCATTGTGCAATTTTAAATGACCAGCTCTTAATTTCCTAGCACTGCCAAGAGCAATCTCCCTTTAAACTAGTCTTTGTCAACTTTTTGTGTTTTATTGGTGGTGATTCATTTAAGAACCATTTCTGTGAAGCCTCTACTCATTTGGATGCTAAAGTTGCCCTCCTCTCACCCCACAAGCATCAAGCCTCATTTTCATCTAAATAAGAATCGATCTCTCCTGCTGTGCACCATCTTCCCTTACGTGCAACTCTCATGGTCACAACCCTGCACGTCTTCTTTTAGCCTGTCCTTTTGCGCTAGTCACTCCCCTGCACAAACCACAAATAAAACCCGCCAAACACATTAGTTACCATAATTGGATAACAGAGAAACTTGTTAACTCACAGACTGCCTGAACATTTTTTATTGCTGTAATTATCTGAAGCAGAAATAACATTTAAAGATAATTGAGTGAATAGATTTAAGCAATAGCAAATAAAGCTGGGACTGACTGGTACAATGTCAAAGCTTCGTTCTGCATCAATGACCAAGCCAAGCAAGAGATGGGGGTGAGTCACTATGGGGGATGGGCCCTCTCTTGTATGGTCAAGGGACACTGATGAAGTGAAATAGATGAAGCACCAAAATGGACTAAATGCATCCGTGGATGAGCCTCTAAGAGCTGTATACAAAGTAAACAGAATAGATTAAAAGTCAGTTTTTCTCCTGATCTCTCAGTTGAGCAAGTCCCTTTTAAACAAGAAAAAATGACTTACAGTAAGTGGGATGTTTATTTTTCTTAATTACACCACATATACTTTAATGCCTATTTCATTTTTGTGAGTAAATAAAAAAATGGGCAACTAACTCAAATTTAATCAAATAGACTTTAGGAACTTTTGCTTTTTTAATACCACGTCTCCCAGATAAGTTTGGACTTTTGGTATCACCTTTCTCAATTCAAATACATGGTTAAATCACTTTTCTGGGTCAGGAGAAAAGTGAGTACACTAAAAAGAAAAACGAGTTGAACTAAGTCTGCTAGATGCTGCCAGGGTTTCAGAAACACTTCACATATTCTCTTGGTGTGTGGTTTAAACACTTTAAAAACTTACAAGTGAGAATCTTATTACGGCTTAATAAACAAATGTACCAAGATTATGTCAGGAGTCCCACAATGTTGTATTTAGCTAGCCACTGCCCCCTGCTGACCGAATGCATGCATTACATGCACCTGACAAATAATTTTCTTGGAAGTGTGAAATTATTTTTAATTAAACAAGACAAAAAACTTTCTGCATTTATATATTTTAAAATGTTAAACTAAAGCTTCAGACCCGAGTCCTACAGTCACGGTCCAGTAGAGGACAGGCTGTTTATGTAGATGCTGTTGGTAAAGGCGCAGACATGAGATTTCTCAGGAGATCCGATGAAAGATCCTGGAACCCTGCCTCTTCAGCTGCAAGAAAACAGTAATTAGTGTACAACTTATTTGTTAGATCACCCCCAGCAGTCATAGTATTTGAGAAAAAAAAAGAAAAGAAAGAAAAGTCATTACCCAGCCGGCCACTGGTCTCCTTCACAAACAACTGGGATTGCTCCTTAATGGACAGCAGTTGTCTTACTATCTTACACTGAGTGTCAATCTACAGCCCCAAAAACAAAGCAGATGAAAATGTATTCATTTAGATGGATAACAGAACTGGTGCTTTCACTGAACAGCAGTCATCAGACCTAGAACTATGTTTTGTCTGACAAAAAAATGACAAGATGATATTAGATAAAAACAGTGTCAGAGAGCCACTCACTCAGCAGCTAGAACAGCTGCATTTCTATATCAAGAAATTTACTCTAAATTTGACTAATTGTAACATCTAAATATCTATTTTGGATTATTACTCACTGCCAAGCTGTTGTTTTCAGCACTTTGCCAAACATAAACTTGATAAAAGTAGTTTTTAATTTTTGTGAAACAGTTATGATGCCATGGAAATAGTTAATTTTAATTTATTTTCTTTCAATAAATTTTCTCCAATCCAACTCCAAACATTAAACGAGCTTGAAGGTATCCAACACAGAGAAGGGCTTATTTCTCTCATAGCAACATAATAGCAGATATCCATTCAAACCTTTAAAGACCAAGTTCCCTCGTTTTATTCAACACATTCACAGTGGTCTCCAGTATCAATGCACAAGTATAAGTTATAACTGGTATGATTTTGGCCTACGATATAGATAACATCTAACCGGATACAATTGCTGATGACGTCAGCGAAGAGCGCAACAGTTTAGTGCTTCAACGGTGCAACATGGCAGAGTGCACTCCTCCCACTTATCATGAATGTGGTCATTCTGCGTCAGCTAGAGGCAAAACGCATTGCTGCTGCTGCAGAGCAGAGTGCATGGATGATAGCGTGCTTATAAAGTACACGGGTCAACGTCAGTTTGGGTTTAATGAGTTGGATGGTGAGCAGAAAAACATCCTCAGTAAAATATGTTTCACGTATATATTGTGATACACAGGCGCTGGTCTATTTCTTTAACATTTATGATTACAACTGACAACTAATGAAAATCCCAAATTCAGTGTCTCAGAATATTAGAATATTGTGAAAAGGTTCAATATTGAAGACGACTGGTGGCAAGCTCTATTCAGCTAAATAACCCAAACGCCTGCAAAAGCGTTTAAAAGGTCTCAGTCTAGTTCTGAAGGGTATACAATCATGGAGAAGACTGCTGACTTGACAGTTGTCCAAAACACAACCACTGACACCTTACGCAAGGAGGGCAAGACAGAAAAGGTCATTGCTAAAGAGACTGGCTGTTGACAGAGCTCTGTGTCCAAGCACATTAATAGAGAGGCGAAGGGAAGGACAAGATGTGGTAGAAAAAATGTACAATAGGGATAACCGCACCTTGGAGATGACTGTGAAACAGAACTCAGTTAGAAAAGTGGGGGAGATTCACAAAGAGTGGACTGCAGCTAGAGTCAGTGCTTCAAGAACCACCCCACAGATGTATGCAAGACATGGGTTTCAGCTGCTGCAAGTCCTTGTGTCAAGCCACTCTCAAACAAGAAACAACATCAGAAGAGTCTCGTCTGGGATAAAGACAAAAAGGACTGGACTGCTGCTGAGTGGTCCAAAGCAATGTTCTCTAATGAAAGTAAATTTTGCTCTTTCATTGGATATCAAGGCCCAGAGTCAGGAGGAAGAGAGGAGAGCCTCAGAATCCACATTGCTTGAGGTCCAGTGTAGTTTCCACACCGAGCAATGGTTTGGGGTTCCATGTCATCTGCCGATGTTGGTCCATTATGTTTTCTGAGGACCAAGGTCAAAGCGGCCGTCTATCAGGAGGTTTCAGTGCACTTCATGCTTTCTGCTGCTGACCTACTTTATGGAGATTAGGGCTGCACAATATATCGTTATCGTGATATCAGCATGCACAATATGCATATCGCAAAGAACAGATAAATATCGCAATGCATGGTCAACTCAAATATTTGCTAAACATAATGCATTCTGTCAGTCAAACGGAAGCATGTATTTTTTAACAAATCAAATTAGAGCTCTTCACCCATTTGGCCAAATGGGTGGGTTCTCATATGTTAGATGCCCGGCCCCGAGGCGGAAGACATCTAATTTTAATGGTTAGCAACACCTGAGTTAGCTTTGTTCTGCTCTTTTTGCTGATTCTGCTTTTCCCGGGATCCACTGATTGCCTTTTCTAGTTCATTTTCTTTTTCCCTTTCCTCACATCTTTTGATTTTCTAATTTTTATGAAGTATTTATTTCTTTGTTTTTGATTATTTTTGTTCCCGAGTTAAGTTTTTATTTATCGCAAGTAATATCGTCATCGCAATATTAATCACTGTTATCGCATATCGCAGGTTTTCCTAATATTGTACAGCCCTAATGGAGATGCAGATTTCATTCACCAACAGAACTTGGCACCAACACACAATGCCAAAGCTACAAGTACCTGGTTTAAGGACCATGGTATCCCTGTTCTTGATTGGGCAGAAAACTGGCCTGACCTTAACCTCATAGAAAATCTATGGGGTATTGTGAAGAGGAAGACGCAACACGCCAGACACAACAATTCAGAAGAGCTGAAGGCCACTTTTGGCCCTTACACACTAGCATCAGCTCTACTCTGCCTGGACCAGGTTTGAACTGTTCTCATTTGCCTTGGATTTTCTCCATCTTTTTAGCCCTCTTTCCAAGGCGGTCTGCCCGGAGCCGAACTGGTCCAACAAACCCACTGCTGACAGATTGGCCGCCTCAAATTGACGCCTACCATTAGGGGAAGCCTCTGATTTGTGGATAGAATCAGCCCACGGGGGCTTCCTGCATGCGAGATTCATTATCATTCTGGATGCTGTGGCGTTAATAAGTGTCTGACTGAATCAGTTTTTCTTTGTCACTCACTACTGTGAGGAGTGCACACACACACACACACACACACACACACACACACACACACACAGTGCTACCAGACACAGAGAAGCAAATTAATATTCTAATATTCTGAGATACTGAATTTGGGATTTTCATTAGTTGTCAGTTATAATCATCAACAAAATATATCAGTATGTGTGTAATGAATTAATATAATTTACAAATTTAACTTTTGAACAGCATTACTGAAATAAATAAACTTTGTCATGATATCTTAATTTTATGGCCAGCACCTATACATCATTATTGCATGTGCTTCAAAGTTTTATCGTGATATTGATCTGAGGTCATATCGCCCATCCCTAGTCTCTAGTATAAATTAATGCCTTGTGAGTTAGGGTTAGCTCTGGAGCTCCTGTTTCAGGAAGTAGAGGGGAGCCAGAACAGAGGAGAGCTAAACACAGCAGCATTTGGAGTCATCTTTGCTGATATTTGAACAACTCACCTCATAATTGGCTAACAGCAATGCAACTCTACTACTAACTCCGTTTACTCTACAATGTTGGAGTTATATCTCCACAAATAACGTTCTGTCATGTTGCGGAGTTGCTAATGCTAACAATTAGCTTCTACTAGCCTAGATTCTCTGCTGTCTCCTGGATGCTAAACCAACAACAGACTTCTCTGTCATGAGCCAAGATGGGTGAGTCCATGAATACTAATTTACAGTGTGACAAAGATCACATTCAGCCTGCATGATCGATCATATTTAAAAAATAACAAATAAAAATGGTTCCACCGTGAACTTGGTTTTTAAATGACACATTTGATTTTCTAATAGCAGCTGTTCATGCTGGTTTGGGCCTTTAGTGCGGTTCTAGGTTGTTCCTGAACATCCAAATAAACCATCAACTGTAAATGAAAACCTTTAACAGATCTAGTTATGTATGTAAAACGTATAAGAACTTGTACCAGTGTACAATTATTTTAACTTATTATTAAAATAATATAATTTATGGATACAGAAAAGCTACAAAATGTTCTGAAAGTTTACACATTTTAGAACTTTCAACTCTACTGAATAATCGTTGCCCATGTCTACAATTTCCAACCTTCCCTGTGTACATATTAGCATAAAACACAGTAAATCAAAAGGTGTGCACAATGTTTTTTTAAAAGCCCTGTTAAATATACAAGGTGTACTATCATTTTTAGAGCAAATCAATGCTAGCCTACAATGATCATGAAATTCACGTCAATGTTAAGAGACAACACCTAACCTAAAAAAATGTATCTACTTTCCAACATACAATTGTTGCCATAGTGTGTATCATCGGTCGTTGCCTAGAGAGGATACTGTGGTAGTCAGGTTTACTCTGTATGAGAGGGTACTGGGAGGACTGGGACATGGATGTAGAGTTTAGTTGTATGCCTGTCTCCTGCCCCCTCTGGAGCTTCCTGCAATGAATAATGATTACACTGAAATCAATTTAAAATACAACATTGACACATAAACAAATACAATATTGGCAATGGATTACTTGATAGCGGTAAATGTGCTTACTGTTCCAATTCCTCTGCTTTTCTTTGGTGTTTGGTCAACAGTACATCCCAGGACTCACTTTCGCTACTGAGCCTAAAAGAACCCTAATATGGTTATAAAGCCATCAACAATATTTAATGGTATTAATCTCATGCCATTAGGAAACAAAAAACATACCTTTCAATTGCTTTCTGGACATTTTTCATGGCTTTTTGCATTGTAGGTTCACTAGAACGTGAAAATAAAATCCGACATACAGTGTTAAATATTTATGTATACAAATTATTCAAAATGAGAACATAATGCATAAAACAAATAAATAAAATACCTGGGTTGAATTGACTGGAGTTTATGTGAATCATTGGGTATGCTTGTTGCCAGGGAACTGCCCTGGGCCTGGATGTACTCCACTATACAAAGAAAAACACAAGAATAGCAAACTAATATTTGTATGACAGTTTATGTTTATTTATTTGGCAGACACTTTTATCCAAAGCGACTTACAATTTATAACCTATAGGGCATGTTGTGATCTGTGGGGGAAACCGGAGTACCCGGAGGAAACCCACGCATGCATGGGGAGAACACGCAACTCCACGCAGAAAGGCCGCAGCCGAGTTTCGAACCTGCAGCCTTCGTGCTGCGAGGCGACAGCGCTAACAACTGCACCACCATGCAGCTGCAATAGCAAATCTGCACAACAAGCTAGTTTTTTAACACAAACACAGTCACAGAACTCTCACCCCTCCCGTCAGCCATCATCCCTGGGCCACGTTCCTGATACCAGAACTTGCATTGCCTCCGTAAACGAGAGAGCGCTAAACACCAGTCGCAATTTTCTAGATCCAAACATCTTTTGTTTTCTGTGACTTCAAATGGTGTTATTCTTTTAGGGGCTCTGATAGTTTCTCCTTCTCTGATGATTATGATTGATAAATAACTTGCAAGTGGAGGAGTTTAAGTATCTCGGGGTCTTGTTCACGAGTGAGGGTAGGAGGGATCGGGAGATCGACAGGCGGATTGGTTCGGCGTCTGCAGTGATGCGGACGCTGAGCCGATCTGTCGTGGGGAAGAGGGAGCTGAGCCAGAAAGCCAGGCTCTCGATTTACCGGTCGATCTACGTCCCAATCCTCACCTATGGTCATGAGCTTTGGGTAATGACCGAAAGAACGAGATCGCGGATACAAGCGGCCGAAATGAGTTTCCTCCGTAGGGTGGCCGGGCTCAGCCTTAGAGATAGGGTGAGGAGCTCGGACATTCGGGAGGGACTCGGAGTAGAACCGCTGCTCCTCCGGATCGAAAGGAGCCAGTTGAGGTGGTTTGGGCATCTGGTCAGGATGCCTCCTGGACGCCTCCCCGGGGAGGTGTTTCGGGCATGTCCTGCCGGCAGAAGGCCCCCGGGTCGACCCAGGACACGTTGGAGAGGTTACATCTCCAATCTGGTCCGGGAACGCCTTGGGGTCCTGCCGGAGGAGCTGGTGGACAAAGCCGGGGAGAGGACGGCCTGGAGCTCCCTAATTGGGATGCTGCCCCCGCGACCCGGACCCGGATAAGCGGAGGAAGACGAAGACGAAATAACTTGCACCTTACAGAGTCAGGGGACTCCAAACTAAGAGCTTTACACTCACATTCACCCATTCATTCACCATTCACTCACACACACACACACACTCTGATGGTGATAAGCTATTCAACGTAGCCACAGCTGCCCTGGGATAGAGCAGGGATACATCCTACAACTTTTTGATAACTGGACAACCTGCTCTACCTCCTGAGCTATTGTCTCTCTCTGATGTTGAATGATCAGATTTTGAATGATGTTAGATGGGCGTAGAACCTCTCACACCAGTGGTGTTCTGTTGCAAAATGCACAGGTACCTAATGAGTGGTGGACCAGGGTTAATGCGGAAGTGCAGTTGTTTGGTAAGACAGGCAACTGGACGGTCCAATTGTTGGTTTTGGACCAAGCTGTGTTATTGGCTAAAGTTTTTAGACAAATGCGAGAGAACCACTACATTGTTTTTCATACTTTGATTATTTATTTTTGTTTCCATAAAATATTTCTATCTATACTATGTTAGAATGTTGTTAAGAGGCAAGGAAAAATGTTTTAAGCTACCTTGTTTTGAAGCTTTAATAGTAAAGTCCATGAAATATATAACGAATAACTAACCTTGTTTTTTAAAAGTCTCAATGGAAGCTTGTGGAACTGACAGGAGCATGTTTTGAGTTCTTTCTAGTGCCAGCTGAAAATAGAAGAAAAAAAAATTCATGCTGCAGCATAGTTGGTACCAGATATTAAAATGTTCTGATGAATATCCTACTACATGGTTTTTTGACAGGTACCTTCACTGAAGCCTCCAATAGCTTCTCGAGCCTCTCTTGATTTGACAACGATGTACTTATGCCGCTGCACAAAGCTGGAATGGATTCAATAAAGTATTTATGGAAACAAAATACAAAATTTTACAGTCAAACTCAGGAACCAAATTTAAGACATCGACTCAAGAAAATTCCATACCCTGATAAGGGTTTGGAGGGGCTGAGAGGGACCGCCTAGTAATGGTGGTTCTTCTCCAGGATTTTGTCTCAGCAGTTGGGCTCATGAGTTTTCCTGTGTCTTCCATCAGCATTTTTTGCATGTCTGTCTCTGACTGTTTTTCTGTATTCGTCCTCTGTGTTGAAGACGATAAGGAATCGGTACGTGGAGATTTTTGTGGGGGAGCTGAATCGGGGCTTGTGGAGGAGCATCTCTTCTTCTGGCCCACTGGGTTGACCTTGGCAAGAGAGGAAACAACTCTGGGTTCAAGAAATCCATTAATATTGAAGCTTGAAGCCTAGTTAAATGCTTTACTGTCTCACCTTACTCTGAATATCATTAATGGACAGATCTTCACAACTGTTATTAAAAAAAAAAAAGAAAATCAGGTAAACGATGGAGATGCAACGTAATAATAGAAAAATTAGGGCAGAAAAAGTTGGTTTGATATGATTAGAAAAATCAGAACCAAAACGGAATTTCTGAAAATTCAAGTTAAAGATACAACACGAATGATGAAACAACTTGATTCATTCAAAAACGTAACTGAGATTCTGCTGCCTTCCAATCAGATTAGCACACTGCCTTACCAAAATTTAAAAAGCAGGACCTCTCAGTGCATTAGATATCAGAACTCCAGATCAACATCATTGGGATTTCCTCTGAGTGTCTTCAGCATCCCATTTTAATGTGTGAGACTGAAAGCTGACAACATGTTATTCTTTTCTTCCAGTTTCATTGAACTACGTCCTACTTGTTTTACATGTATAAATAGTACAAGTTTATACTTTACCACTTGTAAATATAAATTAATACCCCCAAACCTGGCTATCTGGCTAAATCTATCTTGACTTTTTCTTAATTACGTAGTTGGCTTCTTCCTGTCAACATTGAACTAGCTTAGGTCTCACAGCCAACAAACTAAATTAAACTTAGACTCAGTATCTACACGTACACGTATCGTAAATATTTAGGAAGCAATTAAACGCATTTTAAAAGTTAGTGTGGAATCATTTGAACGTAAATAGCTAAATCTGCGATTCAACACTTTCACACCATGCGAAACCCGTAATTCAGACGCATATCATCAACATAATATTGTAGATAAAATATTCCGAAGCGGTTCACGAGTACTACACTGTTGTCGATAAATTCCCATTGCCACGGCTTGAGTTTCAAATTGTAACGGACCCTTCTCGAAGATCAGCCTGCTGCTTTTCCGCCATTTTACTTTTCAAACTCTTTTGCGCGCTCGGCCAATCTTCATTCAGACGAGAGGCACCATGGGAAATGTAGTACGGAGAGGGAGAAGAGCACAAGCAGACGTTTTCACGCAGGGCCGTTGCTAGCTATTTTGGTGCCCTAAGCACAAAGGCTTCGTGGAGCCCCCCCCCCCAAAAAGAAAAAGAAAAAACAACACAATAACACAGTATGTGCAAGCCCTTCGCCTTAAATTCTCTTTAATTCTCTTGTATGCACAAACTGATTATTATTTCCAAAAGTAGGATGGATATTTACATAATATAACATACTCAACACAGGAATTCCATATTGTTATTATTTAGAACTATGTAACAGGTCCACACAACACAAGCACCGGTTGTGGCACATGTGTTTCTCCAATGATAACCCTTCTCCTCCTTGAATGTACTTGTTCGTTGAGCCTGCATTCAAACACAAAAAGATAATTTGCCATATTCATTCTATAATAAGATAAAAGTTTTAAACCATGGTAAAAAAATACTGCAATAGATTATTTATAGGTTTGTATTGGCTTATAAATCACTGGCATGTGACATGACTAAATTCAAAACTATTTAACCTTTATTAAGAACTAGAGAGGCACAATATACACATTTTATACACAACTAGAAAATTCTGAATATGAAGGGAGGAGGTCAGCATAATGGACTTTTTTCTTCAAAATATACCATCAGCAGCTGATGTTCCCCTTGGCCCGTAAATGTTTATGAAATGTATATTAACATAGAGCAAATACCTAATTTGAAAATAGGGTTATCTAATTTTTCATATTAAATCTCAGTTACATAGCCTATAGGCCACATAGAATATTTAATAATGATATAAATCATGTCCATAGTTAACTCATGATTAATCACAAACAGCCGCTTATTTAAAAAAAAATTTTACTTTACCTTGACGGTGTTTTTGTCCTTCCTGTTTTTGTGATATTTATCTAAGTATTTGGGTGGACAAATATGATTCATTTGTTTATTTCTGTTACAAAACAGCACAGATGGGCCTATCTGACCTCACAGAGGAAACTTTATTTTACTTGAGAAAGATGTTTTAAGATGAACTTATTAAAACAAAAAAATCTTCAAACTCTTCAATGTCTATTTTAAGATGAACAACCTTTAACACTGTTCAGACTTATTTTTTAATACAAGTCGCATGAACAAGCTGAATAAAAGGATATTTCCCTTTGTTGCATTTAACTATTTCTTCTTTAAAGAAGTGCTGATTCAGAAGAGAATAATTGCATTTAGGAAGATGATGACTTGCTACGTTTTTTTTCTCCAGCGGTAAAAAAGCTTTAAAGCTTCTCTGAGTTTCTGTCCCTCTCAGCCTCTCTCACTCGGCTACTAATTAACGCCCGGTAGGCAGGGCAAGATTAACACTTTGTTGTACCCTGGGCAACAATATTCAAGGGCCCCATCATCACGACCCAAGGATCACCATAATATGGTCACATACAGAATATTTTACTGTAATATGCAGTAAATATACTCAATACTTGAATGCCTGATGTCACGTAACCTGCTCAGGGTAACCTTTGACCCACCTCATGTGGACTGACCAATGAGGAGAGGGTCTTAACTTGAGGCCCTCTCGTCATTGGTCAGTCTGCATGAGACTGACTCTCAACCGACGTTCAGTCATAGGCAGCGAAGCGTCTCTGTGCAGCGCAAAAGCCCGGGTGGACAGTTTGTTTAACATAGGGTGATCATATTTCCATTTCCAAAAAAGAGGACAGGGGATCTGTGCCTATGACGTCACACTATGGCAACGCCACACAAACCACGCTGGGACCCATTTTTTTGTAAGAACTAAATTAATATCAGATTCGGCCAATAAAAGGGCTCTAAAACAATTCATATGTGAATATTTAGCATATTTATTCCAAAATCAAATTTTTTCTGGTTTAGTGCTGCAACAACATTTTATCAATAAGAAATTATTAAACATTTTGTTTTGCTACAGCATCAGTACGCTTCCTGTGCACAGATTATTAAGGATGCTTGTTTCAGCTGTGAGATTAGACGATAGGATCAATGAACAAATAAGTTCATAGTGCCAACCCAATGGACCAAAGGGCTCATCTGCAAAATCCCTAAGAAAGGCAACCTTCAGGAATGTGGGAACTGGAGAGGAGTTACGCTGTTGCCTTTGGCCAGCAAGGTGCTTAGTAAGATCTTGATCAACAGAATTCAAACAGGAGTTGATCCATCACTGAGGAAAGAACAAGCTGGCTTTAGGAAAGGAAGAGGAGCTGTAGACCAGATATTCATTCTTAGGAATATCTTGGAACAGGTCAATGGATGGAACGCAACATTGTACATCCACTTTGTTGACTTTGAAAAGGCATTCGACTCCGTTCATCGAGAAAGCCTTTGGACTATCATGCGCCAATATGGAATTCCCCCTAAGCTGATTCAGATGGTCAAGATCCTGTATGCAGACTTTCAGTGCGCCGTCATTGATGAAAATGAAATAACAGACTGGTTTCCAGTGACAACAGGAGTGAAACAAGGGTGCTGTATGTCAGGATTTTTGTTCCTACTGGTGATAGATTGGGTCATGAGGAGAACTGTGGAGGGTAAAAGAACCGGAATCAGATGGAACTTCATGACCATACTGGAGGACCTAGACTATGCAGATGACATTGCCGTACTGTCCTCAATAATGGCACATCTTCAACACAAAACAACTAGGCTGGAGAAGAATGCAGCTAAAGTTGGACTGAGGCTGAATGCTGGAAAGTGTAGGATCATGAAGGTGAATAGTAAGAGGGAAGATAAGCTGAAAGTGGGAGAAAGAGAAGTGGAGGAGGTGGAGAGCTTCATATACCTGGGGGCAAGTGTCACTAAAGATGGTGGAGGCACAGCGGATATCAAGAGGAGGGTTGGATTGGCAAGTGCAAGGCACAAACAGCTTTCAAACATCTGGATGGCCAGTGACATCAGCAAAAAGACAAAGAATTCTCTGTTCAAAAGCCTCGTACTGTCAGTGCTACTATATGGATGTGAGCCATGGAAACTGACAAAGGGAGAAGAAAAGAAACTCGACGCTTTCCAAACGAAGTGCCTAAGGAGGATCTTTAAGATCCGGTGGCAACAGCATGTTTCCAATGTAGCGTTATGAATATCATAATTGTCTGCCCTTAACAGCTGCCCCTTTACACAGTAACAACGTGTAGGAACCGCCAAGGTCGGGTGCTGGTTTCAGAATGTTTACATTCCAGAAGAAGAAGAACAGAAGAAGAATGCTTTTAATTAATCAAAGTACTTTATTTGTGATAAAGCTAGTCAAAACATATGTCGATCAATAATAATCAGGTGAATGATCTGTGAAATAAAGATGTCATGAGTTATGTGTTTAATGAATAAACAGGACTGCACCAGACAGACTGATCTACATTAACATGGAAACGCATGACACATTGTTCTCAACCAATCAGAACTTTCGTCTGTCGTAGGGCAGAATCTGGGTTGTTTAATGAAGTTGTCCAATCTGGTTTACTAAGATTTGTAAACAACTGGGGGATATAAAACAAGGCAACGCCATTTTAAACTCAGTTCCATTTTAACCTCAGCTCTGTTCAATCTGAGTTCCTAAGGAGTTCCACCTTGTCATCGCTAAGAAAGGTGCAGGCTGGCCAGCTGCACTTTCCTACTTTAAGCTGAGAACTGTCAAGCTGGAGATTTCCGTCGTTTGAACAACAAGACGACGTCCCTTCAAAATAAGAGATGAACTCGCTGATGCCTGCCGCTACTACTGGGAGTCGATCCGCCGACGGGCTTTGTCGTGCTGTGACCGCTGTTCCACCAGCTCCAGTACATCTGAAGGTCCGAGGACCTGGCATTTCCTGATCTAACACGGAAGGCTCCAGACGGTATGTAGTTACGGCAAAATGGCTGCTCATGTCATCAGCTTCTGAAGCCTCGTGGTTCCTAGACATAACAACCAGATCCATTACGTCAGCCTAGAGATTCTGAACCACACACACACACACCAACACGAAACATCCAAATCCATATGCATCCATCACGGAGTTAGTCCTGGTAGATTGTAAGAATTTATAATTATAGAAATTAAAGGTTCTTAAACGATCCCAACTCTCTCTTTTCTTGTCTCTCAGTCAATACAGAGTGTTTAAGTAAACTCCCTGATGATAAAAACAACCACTTCTGATTATAATATTTAGATCTAATTACAGTGTATAAATATACGATCCATATTTCACTACACCAACAAGACAGTGCTAGAGATGGCACAGACAGAGAGGATCAGCGATGAGGTGAGGAGGAGGAGATGGAACTGGATTGGCCATGTGCTGCGAAAGGAGGAGACGAGCGACTGCGCTGTGGCTCTAGGTTGAGCGCCTGAAGGTCGAAGGAAAAGAGGCCGACCTAAAACAACTTGGCGGCAAGTGGCTGAGGCAGAGAGAAACAGAGCAGGATGGTGTTCATGGAACTCAACAAGAAGTGCAGCTGGAAATCGATCCCTGTGGAAAAACGATGTCCTTGCCTTATGTGCCTCCTGGCACAAAGAGAAATGATGATGATGATGATTGGGTGACATTCTACGAAAGTTTGGGATTGGATTCCATCTCTTTGCCGACGACTGCCAATTGTACTTACCTATAGATGGCGCCGGTGACCACACGATAAAAATTGTTTTGGATTGTTTGGCAGAAATTAGTGGTGGTCAGAGGGGCCAATGACGCCAAATGGCAGCCTCGCCTCTGTCAGACCTCCCCAGGGCGGCTGTGGCTACAAGTAGCTTACCATCACTAGCAGTGTGTGAATGTGAGAGTGTGTGGAAAGCGTCTTTGGGTGTCTAGAAAAGCGCTATATAAGTTCAGTGCATTATTATTATTATTATATATGGTTGGCAGAAAACTTCCTGTGTCTCAATGGAAAAAAAAAACAGAGGCACTGTTGTTTGGACCGAGTGGACATTTTGATTTTTCCAATGTCCACTGTGGTGAACTGAACTCCTATCTGGGTGTTTCAGCAGTCAACCTTGGCATGAAGATGGACAGTGCATTCTGTATGGATGCTCATGTGG